ACTGTATTAATATTTAATAATAATCCTTTAAGCTGTCTTGTTCCCCATACATAGGCTTCAGAAATATATTTTTTAACAGTTTTTCTATATGGTATTTGGTATTGTGGTTTAAAACCATTTAGAAGCTTATGAAATGACAGATTTCTTAATATATTTAAGGGTTGGACATCGTGTACAATAAACTCAACTACAAGTTTTGTTAATTCCCATTGTTGTGTTGGTGAAAGAGAAGGTAGGTCAGGATTTGTTGAATCAGCAGGTTGGTCAATTATTGCTATTAGCTTAAAAGAAAAATAAAATAAATAAAAATATCAAATATCAAAAAAAAAAAATTACAATTTTTACTTCATTATTATCATCGAGATATTTTTTATAATTCTTTGGATTTATACGATGCTTTTTACATAAATGTTTTACTAAGTTTTCAGTACTGTTGCCTAATTTAACATATGGGTACAGTTGCACTTCAATTCCATCTAATTTATCTAACTCCTGAATGCAAACCTTACAATATATATATATTATCAGTTTCATCATCTTGATAAAAAAATCATGTAAAACTAGCATTTGCCCTCAAGTTTGATAAATTACTAGAAGCAATAGAAGCAACAAATGAAATTGATTGGGCTTTAGTTTTAGTGATTTTTCTTTTTTTTTTATTAGAATTACTTATTTTTTAAAACAAACTTTTAATAAAGTTTTTTAAAATGAAATATTTTTAGTGAAAATATTTAAATCAAGACTTTTTAGAATAAAACTTTTAATAATTAGAAACTAATAAGCATCGATTATTTATAAAAATTTTATTATTAAACGAGATAAAATTTATATCTTTTTAAAGAAATTATAAGAAATTCAATAATATAAGCCATACTCATAAACTCTCTGGTAACATACTTAAAGACCTAATAGTATCAATTAATTACTTAATGAAAAGTTCAATATACAGTTATACTTTCTCTTATATAACTCGCTTAAGCTGATAGAATCTTCATTTATTTGATTTCTAAGCACATGTTTTGGCTATTTTTTTTATATACTTTTTGACATTGCATCTATGAGATTTAATTATACTAATCATTTGATGCTTCTATATAATTTTGACAATTTTTATTATTGCTATCTAATAGCATACTTAGAGATAACAATTCTAATTATTTGAAAAGCAAGTCATACTCCTCTTAAATATGTGTCTTTAGCTACTTTTTGTTATGATCTCTTTACATTACTTAAGAAATTTGAACTACCAATCTAATTATTTGACGTGCTATTTTTTCTTTTGACCCCTTCACATTACTTAAGAGATTTGCTATTCTTGCTTTTGACCCTTTAGCATCATACTTAGAGTGATCTGATTATGCCAACCAATTATTTAGCAAGAATGTCATACTTCTTTAAGTGAAACTCCTATAATAAACTCTTTACTTGTTAGAATTCTTACTGGTTTGACCCCAAGTTTCTACTTAAATACATATTTTAGCTTTTTTTTTATGTTCCCCTAGCCCTTGTAATTGTGACTAATAGTCTGGTCATAGCTGTATTAACAATTTTTAATAAAAGTATCGATGTATTAGTATAAAAATTCTATTGAACATTAAATAAAATAATCACGTCGCTTCTATTGAACATAAATAAAATGATCATATCACCTCAATAAAAATCATGTTTAAGTGAAGAATAGCATTGAAATATAAAAGAATTTACGATTACCTAAAATCAAGTGTATTAGAAACATGAAGATTATTAAAACCAACACAATACACAATACTTATTAAAAAAAAATTACGTCTTAAAACATTATAAAAACTTCACTAATTACTTTAATCTAACTTTTGCAAAATGTATATACAAGAATCATAATGTGATGATAGTTAAATAAAATAAAGTATATATTTATATTAAAACCTGATCACTTACAGACTAAAAATTTTGGGTTCAAAACAAATTGCGAGAATGTTCAGAAAGTTCTATAGCGTTATTTGAAATATTAGTGGGAATAAACAGAATGTTGAGAATTTAATTATTTAATCTTTGAAATTCATAAATAAAGAGCTA